TGAATGCCTCTCATGTACAAAAAAGAGCAACTTTGCACATGCCAGTATTAGTTGTTCTGCACCTCACAAACTTCTTGACCTATGCAATATAAAGCAGTATCACAGCATTTACAGCTTACAGCATTAGGAAAACTTATAGGAAGACTCATAAAGTTTGTGCTTAATTCCCCCTTTTCTTAAAAAGTAGTCAAATATAATTGGCTACAAAAAGTTGAAATTTTCATTTAACATTACAGAATTCAGGAGACTAACTTTGTAAGAATGAAGGTGATAGCATATGCAGATGACAATACTGTGGTTAGATATAAATGAATAATAAAAAATTAAAATATTTAAAAGTCTTTGAAAAGTAGCTAGGGTAGTGACTTTATAATAAACAGACATACAGACGTGTTCTGAAAATTCAGTGGTTTTGAAAAACCAAACCCATTAATTTATTTTTAACATTATTTATTTTCATTATTATTTTTATGGGGTGCTGGCATAAAAAGTTAAGACTGGTAATGAGCACTACAAGAAAAACCCTTCTGGTTTAGCCAGTCTTCTTTGAACACTTTATTCCTCTCTTTTAAATCTCTGAGAAGTTTCGTGGTGAGGATTATGCTAATAGCTGGCACTACACAGGGGCAGTGCTGGGTCGTGTAGAGCCAGGCAGATGTCCTAATAAATCAGCAGAGCCCTCTCCTCAGCCTTCATTCTGCTCCTGATTTGTGACTGCCACGCTCTGAGCGCAGGGGGTCAGCGGGCGCTGAACCTGACATTGACCGAAAACCCCCACGGTGCTCGGGGCCAGCCCATAAATCCCACACACACAAATCCTGCCCATTTAGCTCCTCCTGCCCCACTCACAGCCAGCACAGATTTATAGTGCCCAGGCCCAGGCAGAGGAGACTAAACCCAATGCCATGGTGTGCACATCAATTTTACATTTCCTTTACATCTCCGCACGTACATCGGGACCCTAAAAGACATGTGGGGGGCAAAGTTTCTTTTCAGTTTGGAGGACAACTGTTTATGCACAGCATTAGCATCTGCTGTGGAACATTTATTGCTGTAATTGCTGTCCCAGGAGGACTGGCAATGGTTAGGTCACGTTTTATGGCTTTCCACTAAAGCAGACCTCTAACCCAGCTTCAGATTCCTCCTTCTTAAAACCTTGACTACAATGAGGCAAGTACCTTGGTAGTTTGTGGAGATTTTATTAACACAGCTTTTTTTATACTGGACATTTTACAGTAGTTATTTTCACATTATTGATAGCATAGTTGACTTGTCAGTGATTCCCCTATTTCTCAGATTGGAGTGAAACATATTTACTCAACACGAGACAAATTTGACCCCCATCAATGTAAATCACCAACATTTACCATTGCAGGTGATGTACAGTAGTGGTTGTGCATCTCCATGTACCAGTTTAAAAAAGAAAGGAAAATATTATTATGGATTTTTCTGCCCTACCCTGTCTGAAAATAGCTGTAAATAGGACAGAATTGGGTCAGGTGAGTGGAATCCCTTTGCAATGTTGTTTTCTACCTAGTAATTTAATGCTTTAGTTCAGCTAATGTACAGTTTTTATGGCAGAATCACATGGACAATCAACTGAGAAGCATAAATTTGCTCCTGTAGTCTTTGCTAATTGACTTGATGGTAGATCTTAATTTTTCAGTCTTGACACACTGATCAGTGGCAGCAATTACTAATTCTCTTAACAGAAGAAAGGAGTCAAAAGTCATAACTCAGCATAGGATGCTTTCCTGAATAAACAAAGGTCAAACCCTGGTCTTCAGACCTTTCCAGGGAATTTTATTAGTCTTGGTACTGGAACCAGGACCAACACTTCAGTCTGCCTTGCTGAAAGCCTGAGGATATGCTGCAGCTCAGACATGACTAATATGTAATAAGTTAATGAAGGTCAAACAGCACTTCCCCACCTTAGTACAGCAATGTAAAACACAGAGGGGAGGGACCAGAACTGCACATGAGCATTGCATTGCATTTCTCCTATGCTGTATATTCAAAACAGAGTTTCTTAAATAGATCTGCTCTGCTTTCATCAGCAGCATTAGCATGCTTCTGTGCCCCTGGTTTTAATGTCTGTGTACTAAAGAGGTGCCAAGTATTAAACAGGTTGCTTTTGCTGTAATCATGAACTTCCATTGGGAAGCCTTAATTGCTAACAAGCAAAATAGCTCAGTGAGAATTCTTAATGGTGAGCACAGATTAAAATAACAACTGTGATTAGCTTTAAACTGCTTGACTAGCAAAAGACTAATCTTAAGGGAATAAGTTGCTTGGCACACAAAGGAAAAACCCTGTGTATGATATTACAGTAATGAAGGCTGAGAAAAAAATCAAATGCTGCCCCAACTAAATAAGGTCATTCTCTGCACAAGCATCTTTTCCTTGCCAGGGCTTAGTAACTTGGCCCAAGGGGAATGAAGGTGTAAGCAGCCAGGTCTTGGGGCCAAACCCCCATTTTAGCCCATTCTGGAAGTTTTTATAACAAACATTGTCTCTGCTCTATGATGCTAGTTTAAGTTATAGACTGTATTTGGAATGAATTATCTTCCAAAATTGTTGTAGTGTATGATTAGAGGTTGGTGTAGTGTGGTGAGGTGTGGTAAGAGCATGAGGCTTCTTGATCCACCTGTCTGGTCATACCATTTTGGCAACACATAAAGCCAGGAAAAAGGGTTTTAGTGCTATTAGCCACTCAAGCCTGCCTCTTGTCTCTTCATCAGTCTTTGGTTTTGCTGGGGTAGTGTTTTCTTGGGACCTTTTTCCTACATCTCTACAGCACTGCTACATGCATATGATAAACTTGAAAAACCCATGCAAACATTGATTCCTTTTAGTTTCCTTAGTATTTGAAGCTGAAGCTGAACGAGGTAGAGTAGAATTGAGTTTGGCAATTAGGAGTCATTCCTAGGTATTCCTAGGAGGTACTAATTCAGATTCTTCCAACTAACATTGTAACATACATATCTCTGTAAAGCTGAGGTTTCTGATTAGTGACCTCATGTGTGAAAAACACACACATAAAAACCATAAAAACCATATAAATCTGTGAAGTACTATGGAGCTCACAGTACTGCTTCAGATGAGCATTTCTGCAGAGGATTGGTGTTTAAATATGCACATGAGCATACCAATTAAAAATGTATCTTATTTTTGGCCAAACATGCTTTTCTTTAGCTGAGTATAAATGTGGATGGTTCAGTGAGCAGCACAGATGTAGTTACTAAAAGGCCCCAAAAAGCACTGTCATCCTATTATCTGTGAATGAGAACCACTTGCTTCCTCTGACTTCCCAGCACCATGCCCATGTCACACTACAGCTCTAAAAGATACTTCTTCAGGACCAAATTGGGTGAGAGCAATCTGAGTAGTGAATATTGAGAAAAGCAAGGCTTTTACTGTTTGCCTTTTAGATTTTATTTTTAATAGGGTCACAGAAAAGTAAGAGAGGATAGTTTAAAGATTACAACTGGACCTGATGGACTATGTAAATGCAGTATAAATTCTGAATGTGTAAGCACAGGCTGAATAGCTGCTAGAACTCTTGTTGAAGTTGCAGTGGAAACAGTGCTTTTTTGAGGATTTTATCTCAATGTTCAAATCAAGACTGATCATTGCCTTTCAAGCAAATATAAATGCTTCACAGAAGTTTATACCTGCTCAGATTTTTTATTAGTTCCACTAATTAGTCATATAAAATAATTGTCCTCATCTGATTAAAGTTGATAGCAATTTTATGTGCAGCTCTTTACCAGATCAATAAATAAATCTCTTTCAGCAATGAGCTATTTTAACTCCACCAGGGCACATTTTTGCAAAGTATTTACTAAGCTGACTTAAAATTAAACTCAACTTGATGTGCCCTGGTAAATGAGAAATATGATTTGCATTATATATTCATAAAAGTATTAATTTTAAAGAACATGACTCTCAGCCTGTTTCCTCTAATTGGAAAAAACTCCCATTAACACTGCTCATCAGTGCTGCATGAGTCAGGAGTGAAGTGTCAAGCCTCAGTATTGAAGTCATTACATAAAGGACTGAGAACTTTCTGAACAGAAAATAATCTTGATACAAGCAAATATCTCTGTATCTATGCTAAACTACCCAGATTTCAGAACTGCTTGCAAAAGATGAAAAAGTGCTCCATAAAAAGTAACTTCATATGGCTGTGTTTATAAAATTAAATAAATTAACCAATGCTAAATTATAAAATGTTAATAACATTCTGTAATTAATTAGGGATTGGGGTAGTTTTGCACATATGTATACTTGTCATAATAGTGAGACTGCCTGAGCCATGAATTGATTTTGTTTCTCTTAAATTATAAAACAGAAGGCCTTGAGCAAAATATATTCTTTAGATATATTTGGTAGAATAAGGATCACAAATGTTCCCTACCAAGTTGAAAGGAAAAAAAACTCCAGCAGGGAAGTATGTGGAAGGTCTATTTGGCATATGGATGTTTGTTAAAAGCAAAATGCATGAACAGCCCAGACTAAATTAGTTCCTCATTTGTATGCTGGGAAATGAAATGTATAATCCTGGCATGGTTCTGCATTTGTTTAAGATTTCTCCTAAGAACAAACTCTTTTGTGTATGCAGATATACATATTACTGTAGTGGCTATTTAGGGTTAGGGAGAAAAAAAAAGAAAATCTGCTCTGAAGTGGTTTTGTCTGACGCTGAGTGCGAGTGGCAGGATTTTGTCTGTCCCCTGCAGAGCAGCCTGGCCCAGGTAGCAGCACCGGGCGCTGCACAACTGCTGCACAACTGCTGCGTCGCTGCATGGGGGCACAGCGCTGACCCCAGCCCAGCCCTGCAGGGAAAGCTCGGGGCAGCTGCTCCTCTCACAGCACCCAGAGGGGAAACCAAGATCTCCTCCACACAGCCACCCAAAGAAAGGAATACATAATTAATGGGTGGTGATGCTCTGAGATTACCACGTTCTTCTTTAGAAATCAAACGTTTCCAAAAGGAAGCTGATCACAAGTCTCATTTTATTATTTGGTGCTGAATTTACTCTTCCACTAATGTCTGCACACAGCCATGCTTACTCAAATTGAATCATATTTCACTCTTCAGATAATCCCAATTATGTTATTGGCTTTATTCACAGAGCAAAGAATAATTTCAATGAGTAATGGTGGCATTTCCCTGAAGTCTTCTCTAAGACTGAACAACTTATCTTTACACAGATAACCCTGACTCCTATTTGGCAGAGGAAAATAGATTTACCTATAGATTTGCCTATAGATTTACATCAAGGCAACAACTGAGAATTCAGGCCCTTATAAAACCAGGATGTCAAAATGTATTATAGAAATGAGTACTGCACAGTCACAGGCTATGAGACAGGGTTTTAGATGGTATGGTGGGTTTATGAAAGAAAAGGAAAATTTATAAATTTGCTATTTTCAAAGGAATGGTACCTTACTGATCTGTTTCACTGATGAAATCTACAGGGCACTGCTGGTGGCAGATGTGGGAAAGGTTGAGAAATTGTACATGAAGTTATGCAAGTCAGGTTAGCACCTTTCCTTCTAAATGACTTTTACTTCTGATAGAGAAGTTAAATAATCAAGTTTAGCATTTTTATTTCATTCTTTAATGCTCAACCTTTTTTTTTCCCCTAAGTTATATTAAAGCAAGAATTTAAGATGCCAAGTGAGAACAGGGCTTCATTGTTCCACACAAAATGTGAAATGGTTTTCATCTCCTCAGCCCCAAGCAACAAGAAATAATTTAATTCCCTTTTAGCAAAGGAAAGTAATGGAGCTTGTACAAGAGATCCATGTGTAAGTCAGAGTTTTGCTGTGTTCAGTCACAGCACTGTGTACTGTCAGCCTGTTCAGTCTGAGGGATGAAGTTCCCACATCACTGCTTGAATCTTTTAAAAGCTCTGTGGCTTAAAACATGCTTGGTGGCAACCTTATCCCATGCAGTGTGATGGGAGAGGGTTTTCTTGTGTCTACAGTTCATGCCATGATGAGGTGTGGAAGAGGTGACCTTTGTTTGGATGTCTCCTCTCCAACTCCTCTCCTTGGCCCTTGCCACAGCACAGTATAAAGTAAATTATGTCCTCTCTCAGGGGCTTGGCAGTGGCAAGGTGAGCAGAAGACAAGGGCTCTGTCCTGCTCTCTCCAGGCAGTTCATTTTAAAGTACATGGATGCTCCTGTGTTGATGAAACCACTGCATTTTTCACACGAAGAAAACCGTGGATATAAACTGTGTGTCATGTGGCTGGGCCTGTTACAAGACAAATACTGCTTGATTTGAAAGCAGGACTCCTGTGCAGCCCAAATACTGCTGTGACATCACTTCTTCCTGCTGTTTAATTGCATGCTGATCCATCACTGTCATCTTCCTGCTTTTTTCCACAGCAGTCAGCACCTCTGTCCAGGCTTTGTGTGAGACTGGCACCTGAAGATCCAGTTTCCCTTTCCCTGAGTTCTGTAGGACTTGGTTGGCTTCCAGTTCCCACGTGGTGCAGGAGGTTCAGGGTGTGTTTTTTATCAGTTCTGCCCGCTGTACAAAGTCCTTTTTATGTTAACAAATTATATATTTCATTGCTTCATTTGTTAACAAAAAGGCATAATAGTGCCTATAGCAATCCAGATTCTGGGATATCACACATTCACACTTTTTTTTTAATCAAGAGTAAATTCCAACATATTCCGCTGTAGGGAAAATATCATGCATTTATAGCACAAACCTGTATAAACATTATTGTAATAAGTTCCACTGGGGACAAGGTTTCAAATATAAAGCAGCATTCATCACATATTAAAGATATGAGCATAGTTTTCTCTTACTTAAATCTGCGTAGCTCACAATTTGCTAACTCTTGCTTATGTAGATACTCCCCTGAGATTTTCAAAATTTAATAGAAGCTTGCAAAATTCAGGGCTCTTAGTTTTATTACCACCTGATTAGCTAAGCAGAATTCAGAAAGTATAACTCAAATAAGCAAAAAATAAAAACCCCAGACTGAGCTCCACCAAATGCTTTGCAGTAAGGAGATGCCAGCTTTTGCAGGTTATTCAGTTTGCTGTCATTTATGTAACACCTTTAAAGATGGCAGAGGGAGAAGATGACCTGCTTCCACACTCTGCCAGAATCAGCAAGTGCTCCTATGCCCTGTAATGAGGAAGTTTGATACTACCTTAATAAATCTTCCCAGTTCAGTTCTCAATAATGCTATAATAAATCCATTATTGTTTTTCATTCAGTATGTTCTTAGTCCTCTGCCAGGCAAGCCAAAAGCCTCTGAAGCCCTTTTGAAAGACATAAGTATATATGTTGTGGCTCCTAAAACATATGTACTTCCTGTATTTTTATGATCTTCCACTCCTCACATTTGGGAGAATTGAAATGCCAAGGAAATATCTATCTTCCTGAAGAGTCCTGGGAGAAATTGGTCCAAAAACACACCAGAGATGTAAACACTCTCAATTCCTCTCCTCCTTTCCTCTAATAACAGTTGCAAATTTTTGAAAAAAATGGCCAAATGCTGTACCCTCCCTGTGACAGTAAAGTCATGAATTCACTTCTGCTCTACAATGTGGAAATGTGCAAGTGGCAGCACTTGACCCTTTTTTATTTAGCCAATTCAAAAGATACAATTCCCATGAAGAATCTAAATTCTAATTCCACTGAGATCCAGAGAAAACTTTTATGGAATCCTTTTTGGTTTAAATGTACCCATTAGCAGCAGGAGCTGATGCTAACACACATCAGCACGAGGCAGCAGCCAGGCCGCCTGCCTTCCTGCAGCTCTGCTGCACTGGGAAATTTCAGCATGGTTATTGGGGACCAGTTTGTTCTGCCACCTCTCCTCCAGTGACTGATTTTTCCTGCCAGCACAGGGCACTCCTTGAGTGTCCCTGTCACTCCTGTTGCACAGCTTTTTGTGCAATAGCCTGGCCTGGCAGTTTTCCTGGGCACACAATCCCCAGAGCTGAAGTCCTCCAAAGGGCAGCGCTGCTTCAGGTCTCACTGAGCAGTGCCCTGTGTCAGGCTGAAAGAGCAAATGTTTCCATTAATGACGTCAGTTCACACCATTTCCACCCTGCTCATGTTTAACAGAGCCCTGCAACACCGCTGGTGTAACCTTGTGGTAGAACATCTGAAAATCTGGTATTGCGTCACCCATGCACAGCCTCAGTCCTGTGTAAGCAAATATATAATTATTAATAGAAGGACAATAAGTGAGTAAAGCTTAATAACTGCATTTTGGGAGGTTTCTTTCCCCTTCCAGATTTTTGAGCAAGAAGTTTCTCTGTGAAGCAGAGACAGTCGTAAAGGTTCCTCTGTTTTTGTTCTTAGACCTCTGCCAGGCAAGCCAAAAGCCTCTGAAGCCCTTTTGAAAGACATAAGTACAAATGTTGTGGCTCCTACAACATATGTACTTCCTGTATTTTTATGATCTTCCACTCCTCATGTTTGGGAGAATTCAAATGCCAAGGAAATATCTATCTTCCTGAAGAGACCTGGGAGAAATTGGTCCAAAAACACACCAGAGATGTAAACACTCTCAATTCCTCTCCTCCTTTCCTCTAATAACAGTTGCAAATTTTTGAAAAAAATGGCCAAATGCTGTGCCCTCCCTGTGGCAGTAAAGTCATGAATTCACTTCTGCTCTACAGTGTGGAAATGTGAAGTGGCAGCACTTGACCCTTCAGCTGAGAATCAGAAATCATTTTAGGAAGTATCTGTCCCTCCGATGGTAGCTTGGTGTCTCTGAGAAAATGAAACAAAATCCCCCAAATCATGCATTTGCCCGTGCCAGTTGTTAGGTTGGAAATTTAAAACTACGGCTACCAGCCATGTATTGAGCTAATGCTATCATCTACTTCATTTCAGTGTTTTGAAGTATGAGCACTGCAGTTTTGTCTATCTCTCAGAAGCAATGGTGAGCCAAGTCATGAGTTTTGTTTGAAGACTGGTGTATTATCTTGCAAATGCCTATGCTAGACAAAACTGTGCAAGCCTAGGGACAAGAAATAATGATTTGGAACGTATACTTGTTGCTGTGTATGAAACTGAGATACTACTAATCTTGAAGAGACACAGAAGAACAGTATCTCAGCAGTCAGATACAGTGCAGCTTAATATGCATAAAAAACACTTTCAAGTTGTAATTATAGCTTTAAGTTGTAGATAAATATTGGTTCTTTTCAATGCTAAATCACTTCTAGTTACAGAATAAGTGACCAAGTCTGTCACTCTTGATTTCAGTGAATGTAAGCTTAGGCCTGAAAATAATTAACAAACTGGCAATATATATATATATTTTTTTGTTGTTGTTGTTCATTTAGCCACTATTAATCTAGGAAATTTGGTGCAACCACTCCATGTTTTCTCTAGGAATTCAGGAAAGGAGAATCATAGAAAGATAAATGAGGTCTTCAAATTGAAACTTTGTATGTAATAATTTGCAGACTTCATAGAAAGACTTGACCCTGACTAGGATAGTATTTTAAGATCTGCAGTAGCACTCCTAGGAAGGGACCATGATGATGCCATTGATTTTACTACATCTGGAGTACCAGTTGCAGTTCTTGTCCTCACTTCAGAAAAGGTGCAAAAAAAACTGGGTAAGTTCAGGGGAGGGCAGAAAAAGGTAATCATAAGCAGGAGTTGGTTTCCATTTATGGGACAACTAGGACTCTTCAGTCTGAAACAGCAGGAACCCAGGCAGGGGAACGACAGCTAAAGTGTGAGCAGCATGGAGAGGAGCTGCTTGTCCACTCCTTCTTTCAGTGCAAGAAATAGAGGCTGTTGGATGAGAACAGGCATTGAAAAACAAATGAAAGGATGACTTTTCACCTAAACAAGGATCAGAGCATCTGCACCACGGATTTTAAAAGTGCATGTGGGTTCAGTTAGAGGCTGGACAGTCATGGAAGGGAGCTAGTGAGATGTACTGAGCACACAGAGGGCAAGCTTGGGTCAGGAGATCCCTGAGCTCCCAGGGGGCTGGAGAGAGGTGAAGTGCTGGATCTTCCCCTTGGTTTTTGGGGTTTGCCAGTGAAATGACACCGAATTACACAGACTTTCTGGACAGATCCAGTGCAGCCACTCACATATTATACAGGCTCGAAAACCATGCTGCATTTGCAGTCTCCATCACTAATTAGGAGAGAATCTGGACAGGAGGTTTAGGTTGTCTATTCAAGCAACAGGCATTAGAGTGTGATTATTTTTTATTGTTTGGTTTGGTTTTATTTTCTGTTTAAACAAGAAATTAACATATCTTCTATTCAGTAGGTAAAACTGGCTATTACAAGAGTTGCTCAAGGTGTTTTCCTACAGGACAAAGCAGTTAAAACACATCAGCAGACAGGGTCATTGTTTAAATGATGAAATCATATTTGAATGGAGAATAACAATCTCTTTGGAGACCCCAAATTCTACTGGGTTTGGAGAGGACCTCTTATGCCATGATTAGTTCCTGCCTCATGCTGCTTTGCAGCTTTCTGTCACACATTTGCAGTATTTAAGAACATCACTGTACCATTTACTGTGATTCACAGTGCTTCACCCCATTACAGTTAATTAAACCCAAGATCTTTGACTAGCCCAGGACTCTAGATCAGCCCTCAGAAAATGAAGCAATTGTGTCTCATTAGGGGAGAGCAAGGTGCCTGTGTCCTGGAAAGGACATACTTATAGGTTTGACAGATTCAAGCAATTTTGGAGGTTCTCATTTCACACTGGAAAAAGGAGTTGCCAACCTGGAACAAAATCTGCATTGAGAGATCTGGATATGGGTTTATTCAAGACACCACAGCAACACATTTAGCTGCAAAGACTGTTTTCTGTACCACCACAGAAAGAGATCCCTTCTGCAACTTACTGCACTGTTTTCAGACATGGCTAATCTGTTAATCAAAATCTGAGCATTATCCAATGATTTATTTATTCTGAGCTCCTCTGCTAAGAAATCTCCAAATTCAAAATCCAGAACTCCTGCCACCTTCATTTTTGAAGTTCTGCTCCTCTTTGATTCTCAGATAGAGCTCTACTTTTTGCTTCTTGTCTCAGCACCATAGATGAGGATTTACTTTGCACCCTGGTTCCTGCAGTCTCTTCACTCCAGTGTACCCACTGTCTCTCATTTACATTATGTGAGTTTTTCTCACCTTGTTTCCATGATCTCTCACTTTCTCTCACTGGACTGGGAAATCCTGCCTGAACTTTTTCTCACTGTTCACTTAGGTTCTCTTACGCACACCATGTATCTACAAATAACTGTATCAAGTACCAGTTGGATTTTCTTCTAAAAGGAAAAAAAATTTTACTTGCTATTTTTGGATTAACAGATGCCAAAGCTTTCAGCGACTCTTTTGGAACTGCTTTTTCATATACTACGCTGTTTAAAAGCGTGCCGGTCGTGCCTGTGAGTCTCCATCCATCAGAAGTCTTTCAGCCGTGTGTCACACACCAGGCCCTCAGCAGCTCTATGGGCACAGCCGCTGCCCCTCGGTGCATCCAACTCATCCCGGCGCCCCCACCACGCCGCGTGTCCTCTCTCCTAACTTTCGAGGACAGCTGGGACGGCATCCACTCGAGCCGAGCATTCCACCCGGGGCTGTGCGGAAGGAAGGTTTTCCCCGTGATGTGCAATCCCGCGGGCAGCGCTGCGGCCAAGCGGAGCCGCGCGGCTCCCGGAGCCCGGCCCGGGCAGACCCGCCCGCCGCCCCCGGCCCGGGGGCACCCGGGGGCCGCCGCAGACAATGGCCCGGCCTCCCCCACCCCCCCGCCGCGGCGAGCCCCTGCCGCCGCCGCAGATTTGCCGGAGCCATTCAGTTGCGACCGATTGCGATCGCGGCAGATGGGCTGGATCTGACAGCCCCGCTCCTCCGCGGGGCCGGGGGCGGAGGGGCCCGGCCGCCGCGCTCCCCGCCCCGCCGAAAGTGCCACCCCGGGCGGCCGCCCGCCCTCCCCAGGCACATGTTACGCGTCCCGCGGCTGCGGCGGCAGCGGGAGGAGAAGCCGCCGCGGCGGAACAAAGCGGAGCAGGCGAGCGGCGGCGGCGGGGCGGGCGGCCCGGGGGGCGGCAGCCGCTCTGCCCAGGCGGGGGGCGGCGGCGGGGGGCTCCCCGGCCCGCCGGGACGCGCGGCCCCCGCCCGCCGCAGGATGCGCCACCGCGCCCCAGGTAAGGAGCGGCCGCTCCCGCGCTTCCACCCGTCCGTCCAATCCATCCATCCATCCATCCATCCATCCATCCATCCATCCATCCATCCATCCATCCATCCATCCATCCATCCATCCATCCATCCATCCATCCATCNCATCCATCCATCCATCCATCCATCCATCCATCCATCCATCCATCCATCCATCCATCCATCCATCCATCCATCCATCCCTTCCTTCCTCTCTCCCTCCCTCCCTCCCTCACCTGCCCGCCGCGCCTCCTGCCCGCCCCGCCGCCGCCGTCTCCTCCCCTTCCCCGGCGCCCCGCGCCCGCCCCGGCGGCGCCGCCGCTCCCCCGCCCGAGGCCGCGGCGCTGCGCGGAGCCGGGCGCGGCCCGCGGGCGGGGGGAGGCACCTGCCGCCGCATCCCGCCGCCGGCCCGGCCTCCTCCCCGCCCCGCCGGCCGCGCCGCAGCCCGCGCCGGCAGGAGGCCGGGTCCCGGAGCGCCGCGGGAGCGGCGGGCTGGGACCGGCCCGGCCGGAGCCCGCACCGCCCCCGGAGCGCCCGGCCCCGCCGCGGGGCTCGGCCCGGAGAGAAGAGCAACCCGCTTTTCCCCTGCCTTCTCCTCCCTGATCCACGGGCAAGGAGCCCGCGGGTCTGCATTCTAGCCCTGTTGCTTCAGAGGCAGCAGATTTTGTTCCTGTTCTGTGCCTCTTGAAAGAGCATCCTAATGAGTTTTTATTTCTGTTTAAATTTAATTCCTGATTGTTTAAGGCTTGACACCTGCACATTGCACTGGTGGCTGGATGCAGACTGTTCTCATGGAAGAAGTCTGTTAGGTAGAGAAGAGATCTTTCTGAAATGAGTTGAAGTACACAAAGCAGTAGGGTGTAAGGTAAACGCAGAGTGTTGAGTGACCCGCTGCTGGCCATGAGGCTTTTAGCTGTTGATTCTTTGGCTCTGGCTGGATGTTAGCTGCATTATCCGTCTCCCGAGGTGAGGTTACCCAGGGAGTGACAGAAATAAGGTGGAGTAAGTGTGAGTGGGCTTTGCAGCAGGAAAAATGCAGAGCCACATAAATACCATACTGTTGCAAACAATCTTGTGTGTTCACAATTTTTCTCCGTGTGACCATAAAGAGTCCCTTACTGAAATGGTTTTGTAAGTGTCCACTGCCCATCCCTTAAAACCAGATATTCCAGATGAACCCTCTGTTTATCATTAGGAAGCAAAGTTGTAACAAGGGAAGTATCACGAAATAGAGAAGTGATTTACATTGGAGGGGCTGGCTGTATACATTACTGGATTGCAGATAAGCTATGTAAGTAAACAGAAGCACAGTGCTCTGTTATTGTGCATGACTATGGAGATATCATGGGACTCTTTTGCTAGTTAATAGCATAAGGCTTCGTGGGAACTGTTTGATCTGCAGGACTTTTGCTTGGCAGTAGTTTACTTAAGGTTATTACACCCTGTTTGGAGACTTGCATTTGCTGGCCATTATTGCATTCTTAGCTCCAGGCTTTCCAGAGTTGCAGGTTAGTAGGTCAATAAAAATTGCACTGAAATGCTGGAATGGGTAGTCTACAGTTTTAAATGTGGTTGGGGAATAACTAGGCAGTAATCAGAATGCTGAGGATTTTTTTTTTCCTGCGCATTTTTATGCTGGTCACTGGTGGTGAACCAAAAATATTTATTTTTTTTTTGCCATGAATGCCACAGATGCTTTTCTTGTTAAGAGAGGAAACAAATCATATAAGGTAAATACAGAATTCCCTTTCAGCATAAAGCTTGGTTGAATTTACCAGGACTTAGTTCCTTTTGCTAGTGAACATTGGGATTAATGCCACTGGCATTACATGAGGCTTGCCAGTAGCAAGAATAAAAATGTCATCAGGTTTCTGCTGCTATGGATTTACACGTTTCTTTTAGAACCTGAAATTTGCTGTGCTGTGGAGGGAAGCAGTATGGAAAAGTACATTTGTGTTACAAATGCTCCAATAAAATTTCGAGCCATGCGGGTTACAGCGCTCGGCGGGCTCGTTGTGACCCGCTGGATCGCGAGGCTGAGCAGGGCTGTGCTGCCCTGGCTGAAGCCCTGCCTGTTCCCAGAGCAGTGCAGCGTGTGCTGTAATCCCCATTCCCACCAATCCTTGGACCTGGAGGTTGCCTGTGTCTCTGGAGCAGTCCCACTCACGTCACAGCACACAATTTACAGAGTTAAAGTGAGACATATGGTGTGTCCCCCCACCTCGGTGCTGTGCTCATCAGGGAGGATGGATTGGATGCTCAGTGCAGAGCTCTGATGGAAAACCAAAAAATACAAAACATTCTCAGTGGTTTCAGCATCTCTCATGTACTTTCCCCTTTCACTGAACATCATGGACAGGAAGGTCATATACTTTAGCTCAGAAATATTGTATGTTATTGTATGTACTTTTTGGCTTTTTCCCTCTGGTCTCTAATTTTTTAGAGTGTTTCCTAGCTTTTTCTCATCTGCTTTTTTGCAGTTTATTGCATGTAGTCACTTTTCTTGCTGCAGTATTAATATATGCTTTGTAGTACTTTGTGTCACCCTCTTTCTTTAGCAAAGAACTTCCCTTTCTTTAGTAATTATTCATGGTTAGCTCTTCTGCTGTGCCATGTAGGGTTGGTTACAACTGTTGTAGAGTGTTATTGCTACACCAGTTTGTCTCCACCAGATAAATCCCTAAATAGATAAGCCCAGCAGCAGCCAGGTGTTGTGCATAAATCCACTTCTTACGCTAATTAATTTTCCTTTTAAGACCCTGATTTTGCCACCACTTAGACACCTGCTTAACCTTGGAGTTACAGCATTGGAATGGATATGCTACTCTGCATGCAAAGCTAAGTGTGTGTGTTCCTGTTCACTTGTAGCTTGCAAAGAGCTGCTGTACAAAAAAAACCTCAAAACAACCCAATCCCCTTTTGCTTTGCTCCAGTTCTCAGAAAGTGCAATTCAATAGCTGCTGTTAGTTTGGTGATTTAGCTAAAACAAAATCCTATTGAGTGATGGAACTGACCTGGGACTGGTATTTTAGACACAGACCTGGTGTTACAGTGTTTCTTTTCTTGGTTGATGTTTCTATGGATGTTTAAACCTTCTTTTTCCACCTGCAACTGCACCATGGTGAAGCTGAGACTATCAGAGCAGTAATGCAGAATTTCCACTGCTCAGAAAGGAGAGAATGAAAGGGCAATTTTAATAATATTTGTGTAAGAACATCAGCCAGAAGGTTGATGGTGGGATTTGTGTTTATGCTTCTATTCTGAAGAAGGTCTGGAGGGATTATTACAGCAGCAAAATTCTTTTTCTTGGTTCTAGCTATTTGATATTTAGATCTCATATAATGGAAACTCCTAGGAGTGATGAAAGAATTTATAGTATTAGGACATTAGATGATGGATACAGTCTCTAGCTGATGTGAATGGAATTTTAAAGAATATACATATAATTTTGATATATTCAAATGATTTAAACCTTAAGAGAAAATTATGCTGCAAGACTTATGTCAGAAATCCTCAAATTGTCTGTTTCTTTGAGAATTTCTTTTTCTTCTGTACTTATCATTTGAAATGAAAATAGGAAAGTTTTTTTTTTTTCTGTAGAAAGAATCGTTAAAGTGCAGAACTTAATGGCTCATAAAAGAGAATCAAGTACTTTTGCATCTTGCTGTGGTGTGTGCACTGACGGTTGGCATCTGAAACATAAATTATTCCTCAGAATAATCAGAATGAAAGTAATATCATGGAGGAAAAACAGAAACAAAGTTCTCAACACTAGTGTGTGCTGTGAAAGAACAAAAGGAAGTGTTCTTCTTTTCCCTGTCTCCCTTTATAGGATTTCTCTTAAATCCTTGTGGTTCCAAGTGTCTGAGCCAAACATATACCAGTTGCTATCCATGTACATCTTTTTTCCACCTTCTAATAACTTCCCTTGCTTTGTGTATAAACCCCTCTAAAAAGGCTCTTGGCTCCTGATGGCCTGTGTTGTTCTAAATGGACAATGCAGCTGCTCTCTCATTATGTCCACTTGAATCCACTCATTTCTTCTCTGTGCCAAGGTTTTACCCGTGCCCTTGATCTAAGCCACTACAGGAAGCTAAAATCCTTATCCCATTGTGTAGTTGATGATGATAAAGTAATTTGTGCCTGGCTATGGCACATTCTTATTCTGAGTGGGTTTTTTTATTCTGAAGATGAGGTATATGCTTTAAGCATTTCAAATTATAATTTCAGGTTTCATTGCCATGGTCATTTCTGTGACAACAGACATTGATCTTTACAGATCTTTTCTTCCGTTTCTTTCTCTTTCTTTCCCCTTTTTTGAATTGGCTGCCTGTGTACCTCTTCTCCATGCCCACTGTGTGTGTCTGCATTCCAGTGGATGTTCCTAGTGTCAGGCACAGGAGCCAGCTGGCATTTGTAAAATGATGAGCTCAGTGACTTACTGCACCCTGAAGGGCAGCAGTGTCCTGACTAAGAACACACCTGTGTGACATGTGGTCAGAGGGGAATGTAGGCCAAACCCAGTGCAATAAATGCATCTTTCTGTTGAGTTTGGGAGAAGACCAGAGCTGCCAGTGGAGCCACAGTAACCATGTGTTGTGTCCTGGCCTTCTTGGCATCTGCAATAAAGTGATTCCTGGTGGCTACCGAGCACGAGATTGAATTGCAGTCATTCCTGGTGGTGTTAATGGGAATCTGACGTGCCAATATTCAAGCATATAAAAATATTTTTTCATGTAAATAAGCACATGTGGTAGTAGAGAAGACTGCTGGGAATGTCTCTGGTATCTACACTCTAGGTGGGTGTTTGTAGTTCATAACATAGGAACAATTTGCTCTAAGTTTTGCTTCAGGGCTCTCTCTCAAGTAACATTGGCTTTACTCCTACTGCTAGAGCTTCTGTCCTGGAGATGAGTAAGTTATCCAGTCACCATTTTCAATGTTACCTAATGGAAATGAACAATTACAGTCTTGTAGTATGTGGCTATGGTTTGATTTATTTTTTAATGCCCAGTCTTGTTAAATAGCTTTATTTACATTTGCTTTGGCACTGTAGTAGAGCCCAATAAGGAACATTATCAACTGGCATGGCACAAATGAGAAAAAACTTGGTTATTTGCTGTGATCCCTGGTGGGTCCAGGACCACACCTCCACTTCATCTCCCAGCTGGCCCAAGAGGTTGCACCAGCTGCTGGTCCTGATCATGCAGCAAGGAGTCAGCTGCTGGAGACCTTGCATCTGTGTTATAT